ATTTGTTTTTTTGTTTTACTTTGCCCTTTGTACAGTTCAGAAGTGACTGCCAAATTCATTTTAGAAAAAATATATGCACAAAAAATGTCTGGCCTGGGCTCGAACCCAGGACCAGTTGGTTGTAACCATGCATTCAATACCAATGGGCTAGTGCTAGTGATTTGTTTGCATAACATCGGCCAAACTTATTATATGTTGCCCACCACGTCGTGGAATAAACCCAGCCGTTTCGGATTCTACGAGTTTATTACGTGTCCACCCACCACGCTCTCTGCTCACTCGCCCACTCGCCGCTCGCACCGCCCACTCCGCTTCCCCCTCTCTCCTGTCGAAATCGCCGCCGACAACCACCGCCACAGCCGTCGCCATGGACTGGCAGCTGGCCATCGAAGCTCTCGCCGGCAACAACCAGGAGATGCGCGTCCAGTACAGGGAGATCGCGCGCTGGTTCCCCAGTCTAGCGATGATGAGGAACCACGCCCGCGGCCTCGTGAAGGTGATGACAGCTGCTGAAAAGCAGCGCGCCTTCCCTGCCGGCCGCACCATCCCGCCGCCGTCCCTTCTGCTGTGGGCGATGCGCGAGGTGGAGCGCTCCCCCGACCCCAGGCAACGCGCCCGATGGTGGATGTACCGCTCATCCACCACGCCGCCGGCCGCCGCGGACCACGTCACCCACACCGTCCTCGCGCTCCCAGCCCCAATCAACAATGCCTAGTGGGACAGGCGCAATCCATGGGTCCTTGGCCCCTCTGACGACTCTGACGGCGAGTCTTCAGACGACGAGTCCTCTGACGACGAGTCCAGTGAAGATGATGAGGACGAGTCGTCTGACGAATCTGACGAGGTGGATGAGGTCTTCGTCCTCTCCGACGACGAGCCTGAAGTGCAGCTGCTGGCTCCCGTCCTCGACGCCGTGGAGGGGGACAGGAACCTCCCAATCCACGTGGATGCGCTGCCGGAGGTCGATCTCCCAGACGGCGTCGCGGTGAAGCAAGAACAAGATGGCGGCGAGGAAGATGTGGTGGAGCCGGCGCCGGGCAAGAAGAAGAGGGCGGCCGTGACTGCAGTGCGCCGCTCCCATCGCCTCAAGATGCTGAAGAAGGAGGAGTGAAGTGCTGCCTTCAGTTAGTTCAGTGCAAAAAAATTCAGTTTCGTCAGTCCTGGACTTTCATAAGTTCAGTAAGTTCCTAGGCTCAGTTTCGTCAGCACTATCTACTTGCTATCTATGTCAGGCACTATCTACTACTAGTTGCTATCTATGTCAGACTATGAATGGTAGTACTATCTATCTATGTCAGATTATCTATATATGTTAGTTGCTACTTGCTACATATGTTAAGTTATTTGTCATACTATCTAAGCTACTTGCACTCTGCTATATATGTTACTTGCTGCTTTCTACTTCCAACTATGTCACTACTGTTAGTTATCCACACATGATATATGCAGAGTAAAACAGACTCATCATAGATAAAACATTCTTACTTAATTAACTTAGCATGAGTACTCACTTAGCATAGTAGGTCTTAACATAAAAGTCATTACATCATAGATAAAACCAACTAGTTCTTAAACCATAAGAGTACCTCCCTCCCTCATACCATTCTGAAAGCACATAAAACTTTCTCAAAATATACACCTAACATGCATGACATTCCAAGGCCAGCTATATATATAGGCCTACTAATTACTTAACCCACACACCAAGCACTTCACTCATTCATAATTGCCTTGATCCTCTCCAGCTTATCTTTGCTGGCATGCCCAACATTGACCAGATCAGCAATCAGATACTCCAGCTTCTTCTTCTCTTTCTTAAGTAGGTCCCTGTCCCTCTCCACTTTCTTCATGGCCTTCCTCATGTTCTGAATGATATCTGCTTGGCTTTGAAGAATGCACCTTTGCTCCTTGGCCAAGGACCATCCACCCACTCCACAACCCCACAGTTCACACCTACATCCTACAAAAGCAATTATTTGTAATTAAGCACAAATCACTTAGTAACAAACTTAGTACAGATAACCAAAGTTCACACCTACATCAATATGCTCTCTGAATTAGCATCAGACATAAATTCAGTTAACAGCTATATTTAGCAGTAGATATAAATTCATTTAACTCTGTTCTTTTTTAGGTAACAGCTATATTCAGTAAACACCTAACTAATACATTCAGTTCACAGTACACTAAAGATCTCTGCATGTAGGTGTTCTAAGGTTCAGTCATGTATTGAATTCAGTTAACTACAACACACATCTCTGCACATCACACATCTCTGCACCACATGCTGCACCACACATCTCCACCAGCAAAACAAGATTTAATACCTGCTGCACAGGACAACCCAGGAATCGCCTCCCGGTCAAAGCACCTTCAAAAGCCACCATCTTCTTCGGCCTCTGATGATGCATCATGCACGTCGGCTCAGATTCAGTGTAAGAACCACAGAAAGATGGTTCCACCACACTGTCAGGGGTTTCCTGCAAAAGAAACTTCGAATCAAACCTAAAGCAACTTGGAATCTTCAACTTGGATGAACTAACCCTAACCCTAACTCTGTTCCACCATTATGCACTTACAAAGAGCTGAGGATCCATTGAAACCATGTTGATGTCCTTGTCCGAGCTCTCCTCGTCATTCCAGGATGGCATCCTCAACTTCTACCGGCAGCAATGGCCGCGGCGGCGACGGCGACAGGCTGACCTAGCTCAGAGCACCAGGGAGAGGGGAGAGGATGAGGACGAGTGAGAGCGAGCGAGGAGGAAGAGAATGAGCGAGTGGCTGAGCTCGCTCGCTCTCACTTATTGACCCGACCGACAGCGGCCGTTCCGACAGGGGACGGGCCGTTAACGGCCGTCCGCGCGCGCCGGGTGTCAGTTAGCCCGCGTGGCAACTGTTGGCGTGCCCAACCGGTCAAAATAGGGGTTAGCGCGGGCAAAGCAAGCGATTACGCGAGTTGGTAGTTTTTTGCCACGGCTTAGAAAAAATTTGGTAGTTTTTCGCACAAAAACGTAGAGTGGTAGTTTTCTGTCACGTTTCCGGCAAATGTGGTAGTTTTTGGTTAAATACTCGAACAGAACAGAAGGGAGGAGAAGAAACGAGAGTCCCGGTCGGGTTATTGTGAGTCTTCCCCCATGCATCGTCTCACGTAGTAATCATGCATATCACGTGACTGTATATCTTGTCAGAATTAACTAAGAAGAGGTACGCAGTGATCGGGTCAGGATAAGGTCACGGCCGGCGGCTGGTCGTGCCCGCCCGATCGATCGCTGCAGGTCAGGTGTCCATGCGCGAGCCGCCGGAGGCAGCCACGCTGCCACCTCAAGCTAGCATGCCGCCGGCCGCCGGTGGCAGCAAGGCTAGTGGCTAGAGATGCACTGAACCTTGGGGCTAGCTACAAACAAACCAGAGTGAGCCGTCAGTCACGGTCACGCGAATCTCTCCGAGGACGGAAACAGTCAATGGGCAGCACACCGCCACGTGCTGCTTAATCTTAATCAACACTCGGCTCATGATCCAACCGCTCTTATATTTTTTGACAGAGGTCTCCATATGACACCCACACCCTAAATATCTACTCCATTTTCCATTGGCTTGGATTCATTCTGGATTGACTGGTCAGAAGTTTTTGGGAGCTAGCACAGTGGCACTCTTGTGGTTAAGTAAGGGCATAAGTTCCCTAGTTAGTGCCTTTACTGTACAAAAAACATCATGGCCTAGAAGTGGTCAAATTATTCCGCCAAACAAACTAACATGTGCGGCGAGACGCCGGTATTAACACAGCACGGATGATTTTGCTCGCCTATAAATACTTTTCACCGTCTCATGTCCTCTTCACACACACACACACACACACAAGAAGAAAAAGAAGAAGAAGGAGGACCTTCTCATGGAGCACTCGTACAGCAACAGCGGCATCAGCAACTACGGCGGCGCAAAGGAGAAGAGGCCTCCACTGAAGAGGGGGCAGCTGAAGCGGCAGATCGTCAGGACCATCAGCAACCTCGTGCTGCCGAGGAGCGACGGCATGGCCGCGGAGAAGCGAGCATCGGGTCGCACCAGCCTCGGCACCTACAACTGAACCTCTCCAAACCACATCCGTCGTCAGTCAGTCAAGGCTCTAGACCGGGTACAAGAAGAATGCTTCTAGCTACTGTACATGTTACTGTGTTAACTTCCCCCTTTCCTTCAGGCCTTCCTTGGTTTCCAACTAGCTTAGAGACCGCTTAATACTAGGATTTTTGAGTGTTGTTTTGGGTCGTGTAAGAAGGAATAGAGAGGTTATGTAAATTTTCCTATGTGATGCAGTATTACTCTGTTATTAGTACAAAGTAGAGATGCAACGCTCAAGGCTCAGGGCCGACTGATCGTTCTTGCTCAGAGTCTGATTTTACTTGGAACAACAAGTTTCCACGTCGATTTCCACTAAGGAAACCGCCGATAGCAGAAATAGTGCTTGCCTCAACGCAAGATAATGAGACGCAAAGCAAGCCTCTCATGCACTTGTAGCCATTTCATATCCACGTACATCAACATTTCAAATAGGATTAAGATATTTTCTAAGTGCTGCCGACTGCATATCACTGATACTACAACGAGAATATATGGTGTGCAAGGGTACAGAACCTCAAATCAGGTAAGCGGTTCATGATCTGCGCTTTATCTGTGAGAAACCAGAGAGCATGGTTGATCTTGAATTCGCTAGCTCCACAATTAGTTCAAGTGCTACATGAAACAGAAATATAAGTTAGATCAATATAAGGCTAAAGGATAGTGTGTTCTCTACTGAAACCGTTTATAATCCAAACATAGGGCTTGCATCAATAGGCAAGATAATGAAACAAAGACTCTTATGCACTTCTAGCCATTTCATATCCAGACGGACAATGTACAACGTTTCGAATAGGATTATGATATTTTCTAGTACAAACGCACTGATATACTACACAAAGAGGAGAGATGGTGTGCAAGGGTACAGAACCTCAAATCAGGTAAGCGGTTCATGATCTGCACTTTATCTGTGAGAAACTAGAGAGCATGGTTGATCTTGAATTAGCTAGCTCCACAATTAGTTCAAGTGCTACATGAAACAAAGATATAAGTTAGATCAATATAAGGCTAAAGGACAGTGGGTTCTCTACTGTTCTGACTAGAAATAAAATCTGTTTCGAAGGAAACTTGGGTTGTTCGTAGTTTTGGAGACACCAACTTTCCGAAGACTGACAATTCCTTTGATCTTGCACTTTGAACCTAAAGTGCAGAGGAAAGGAACAATCAATAGAATCTAAGCGTCCCAGAATTACACAGCTGTCTTATTCACGACACAAATGCATAGGTGTGCTGTAGCACACCTGTATTTTGCATCTGAGTAAATCTGTCACTCTTCAGCGTTACATATGTGAATGTGAAATTATGTGTTTACTAGCAAGAACAAAATTTGGATAGAACAGTCACAAGCCAGACTAGCTTGAGATAAAGCTCTCAAACTTGAGTAGAACTCCTATACTGCAATATTTTGTTTTGTTGTCTTGATACTTCATTTTGAACTATCAACAGGTCTGGCATCCAGCATATCCAGGTGACCTGGCCAAATTAACGACTCAAGCAGATAAAACTTGGTTTTGCTGAATTACAGCAGTGCTCTGGTTTTTGTCACTTTTAAACCATTATCCACCACCAAATGTGCTCTATTTTTAAGAGTTGTATATGTTGCTTTTACCTGCCATGTTTGCAAAAGATGACATGTTTTTATATCACACTTACCTGGTTGCTAATGTCAACACCAGTAGAAGACTTTGCAGTACTTGCATCTGATTCCCTGCTACCATCTCCTTAACAAAAGAAGAGGATTTCAGGTAGAAACACTACTAGAATAGAAACAGTGTCCCTGATCACTTGTGCAAATACCTGGGGTAGCTTCTGATCCTCGGTACCTTAGTTTTGGTTTAGTACCATCTTGTACACAGATAACACCACTGGAGCTTGATTCTTCTTGCAAGCACCACTTCGACAGAGCAAAATGCGGCTTTGATTCTGAAACATAATTAAAGAACAACTCATGGCATGCACATGGAACTATCAATCTAAGGATTTCGAAAAAAACAAGGATGGTTGCCATAGCAGCTATGCACTGTTGATTAAGATTGTGAACTCAAATAGTGGTTACCTGATGGTTGCAAATCTGCAGAATAATCCACTTGCAGCATAGTGGCTGCAGATTGCTCCTTATGATCAAACAGCACACTCGAAACACGTGATGCGCCCATCGAGTGACGAGCACTTGCCAGATCAAGCCAACCCTGGAAAACAAAGAATGCCACTCATATATCCTTGTGAACTGCGGTAGCACTACAATAGCAAAACAGTTTCCCGCATAAGTCTTCCAAAAGCACTCATATATAGTTGCTCGACATTGTCGGAACTAGATGCAACCCAGAGCAAGATAAATTTCAGGGTACTGCACAACCGTAGGTACCATTGAAACAAAAATAAAATCATCCGAGCAAAGAAGCTTGCGCTCAGATACTAGTTCTTCTCATGTACTTCCTCCATTCCAAAATAGATGACTTAACTTTGTACTAAATTTAGTATAAAGTTAGTACAAAGTTGTGTCATCTATTTTGAAACGGGGGGTAGTACTTAGCTAGACCCCGAAGATAGAAATTAGATTGTTCGGGTGCCTGATACATACTAGCATTACTATACTTGTGTTGTAACAGTCACTTGAACTGGAGTCAAACTGCTCCAAAGATAAAGGGAACCCAGAGCAGAGGACCATACATACATACTACTCCCTCCGTTTCAAAATATAGTGCGCCCGCGTTTTTCGAGGTGCAACTTTGACCATAAATTTAACCAACGAGACCAACTGCGGTGGGAGAAAAAATTATATAATTAAAAACTTCTTTCGAATACGAATTCACTGATATAATTTTTGCTCCCGCCGCAATCGGTCTTGGTAGTTAAATTTACAGTCAAAGTTGAAGCACGGAGATAGATGAAGCACTATATTATGGAATGAAGGGAGTACTGCGCAGGGGGTTGAGAGATTAGTGCACAGAGGGCAGCGGCCGGCGTGACCTACCTGGCGAAGAGCGACGGAAAGCGAATCCATGAGGAGGAGGTAGCCATCCGCCGAGTCCATGAACCGCAGGATCTCCTCGTCGTCTCCCCCAAGTTCTTCCGCCGCCGCCGCCACCGCATTGGTGATATCTTCAACTTGTTCCACTCGACGGTCGGGTCCCATGTGCCGCAGCACCTCCGCCCCCGTCGCCATCAGCCCGAACCTGACGCGCCCGAATGCCGAGGGGATTGGGGGCAGGGAACCAGAAATTGTGAGGGGAGATAATTGCATCTATAGTCCTCGCACTTGCTGGCGATGTACTGGAACTTGCGTACTGCTTCAATACGATGCTTCAATACGATCCCAGTACATGAAAATACATTGTCAATACGGTCCCTAAAGTTGAAACGCACTCTACACGCTGCATACGTATTGTGTATCCCGCTGTATGCCACGTCAGACAGGCCCCGCTCATCAGGCTGTACCCATATGTCCGTGGGATATTGAGAAATAAAAAAAAATGCAAAGAGAATTGGCGCGGGCGGGTGGCTCGAACTGCTTCAATACGATGCTTCAATACGATCCCAGTATATGAAAATACATTGTCAATACGGTCCCTAAAGTTGAAACGCACTCTACACGCTGCATACGTATTGTGTATCCCGCTGTATGCCACG